AGATATTGGAAGACTTAGTGTTAGGGTTACAAGGAGAAATATTGTGAGGGTTACAATGAGGTTAGAGTAAGGGTTACAGTCAGGGGCGGACTGTAACCCTTACTCTAACCTCATTAAGTAAGGGTTACAGTCAGGGGCCCCCGGGCAATAGGGGATCATGGGGCCCCTGTGTCGTTGCCCAAACTCAAAAAAGCCTGTGAAAAAGGTACCAGGGGCATCTCTTGGGGCCCCCTACTGACCCCGAGCCCTCGGGCAGTGCCCGAGTTTCCAAATGGTCAGTCCGCCTCTGGTTACAGTTGGTGCTGGGGTAGGATTAGTGTTACATGGTGGATTAGTTTTACAGGTAAGAGTGGTTTTAGTGTTGGGACTACAGGGAATGTTAAGGTGATGTGGCCTAACAAAGTTATGTTAGTTTTTTATACTGTGGAACTACAGGAAGTCATCTGTATGCTGAAAAATATAATAATTCCCTATTATGCCTCCTGTGATATATGTTCTGATGATCTTCCAAAATGATTACATATTCACCCATGAATGTTATTAAAGACCCTTACATAAACCGTCTTATGAATGCGACTTGTGTTTCATTATCCTTTAAAAATGCTTGTAATTGGGCACTTTGTGGCCACGGAAAATGAGATCTCAGGGCACCTTTGCCGTATCAGCTTCGCAAATTTTTACTTCCAAGGAAATTGCAACTTAACCTTCCCATATCTCTGAACTGCTTTTGAGTCTAGCCAAACAATCAGTGTCTTTTACTGACCGTCACCAGCCCCAGAGCCCGGGGTTATCTGACCCCAATTGACAATGTCAGATATTCTCAATAACGACACATGATTTTTTTGTGTCCCTTTTTCTACCCTTTCTAATCCATTTATAATTCCAGGGGTAAAACAAGATTTCCTGCTAAACGGTGTATTTCACGCTGGTCATCTCGCTGGCTGATAATGATAATGACTCTGCACAAAGAAAGTGATTTACAGCTCAGCTTGTCCTTGCTGCAAGATTGATGTGACCGTGGACGCTAGGGAATTGCTGGGTCCTAGAGCTCATGGGAAAGATTAAAGGCATGAGCTCTGTTTCTTCGAGGAGTCCCACAATTATCACGATTCTAAATTTTGTTCGATTTGTTTGTGGTTTCATAACCTCCTTGGAGTGGCCATTAAGGGAATGTCTCAAAGGGTACATCCAACGAACTTTGATCATTCAATGACTTATTTGGGACCACAAGTCATGTTTGTGGTGTCATAATACTCCTCAGGATTTTTCTAGGTCTTCCAAAATTTTCACATGATGCTAAATGTTTTTTGATGTTTGTGATGTCATAACCTCCTTGGGGTAGCCACTAAAAGGATGTCTCAAAGAGTACATCCAATGAAGCTTGATCACCCAATTGTTTGTTAGTGACAAGCCATGTTTGTGGTGTCATAACCTCCTAAGGGTGGACATTAAGGGGATATCTTAAAGGATATGTCCAGTGAACATGAATCACTCAATGGCTTGTTTGGGACAAGTCATGTTTATGGTGTCATAACTTCCTGAGGATGTCCATTAAGTGGATATCTCAAAGGATATGTCCAAAAAAATGTTGATCACCCAATGGCTTGGTTGGGACCACAAGTGTCCCTCCATTCCCCAAGACTTGGGTTTTATCCCACACTGGGGCTCCAATAGTTTGGCTGAACTGTTTGACATATGATACTGTCAAATGATTCCTGGCATGTAAAACCTAAAGGATATCTATACCAAAAACAAAAATGTAATATATTGTCATTTACCAGTCCCTAGATGTAGTGATTGCTTATGTTTTATTTCTCAGGCTAAGAACATTTTATACAAATTCAGAAATTACTTGTTGATTGCGCCTGAAATGCCCTCTTGAGAACAATGTCAGTGCTTGAGGTGGGCAAATTGGTCAATTGCCCAAGCTTCCCACATTGTTAAGGGTCCTTGGAGCTTCCCCACCTGTCCAAAGCCCCTCCTCTATCCAAAGAGCTCCACTATCTGCAGCTTTTAGGCCTCTTTCATGTGGGTGGAATATTTTGAAAAGTGAACTGCCATGGATCACTTTTCAGACCAGGGTTGACAACCAGTTTACAGGCATATAGCAGGCAATTCTGCAGCCTCCTGCATGCCTATTTCTCAAATATTTCCAGTTTACCCTTCCCTCAGTTCTCTTTCTCACCTTTCTTTGTATATCTCAAAATAAAAACTCTCAAGTGTTATTAAAATTTGAACCCTATAAACAATTAAAGTCTGAATGCTAGGTGATCTAAATAAAAAGGCAGAAAAACACAAAGGAAAAGAAACTTCTGTATCCTATGGAGCGGGTCATGTCAGATGGCCTGCAGTATTCCACTCAATAGGGCTTCAATTTGGCTTTTGCCTAGGGAACCAATTTTGTCTAAAACTGGTCCTACTTATAAATTGAACTGAAAGCTCCAACAATGTTATCTTCCTTCCAAGCTGTCTTCTGTAACCTACATATTACCCTGCCCCATATGTAATGGAGAGGAAGAGAGAAAGATGGTTTTGTAATCCAAAGCACGACAGCTGCCTAGCTGACAATCATGGCTCCTCCAAAGGTGTTTCAATGTTGTAAAATCAGCAACTCTCATTAAAATATTGGCTGGTAATCCCGCCATTAAAGTCCTTGTTCATAACTTCTTGTTATGAGACAACAACTGTCTCCCAGCTGCACTCCTCAGTTGCACCCTTTCAAATGAGCCCCTGGTGGAGATTACAGGCAACCATGGATGGTTCACTGTTGTCACTGCACTAAGCTGGTCCAAATCAATGATGTTTGACCAATACTGGAGCTAGTGCTTGTAAACTGGAAATTATTATTATTATTATTATATAGTATTTATAAAGCGCCGATAGTTCGCTCAGCGCTGTACATTACAAAGGGGGACAGAACATGTGACAGAACAATACCAATACAATGCAAAACATGAGGGGATGGAGGGCCCTGCTCCTTGGAGCTTACAATCTAGGAGGGAGGGGATGGTGGCACAGGAGGAGATAGCTGTGGGGGATGGAGTGGTAGGAAGAGTGGAGGAGGTCGGCAAGTTAGCAGGGGGTGGGGTAGGCTTCCCTGAAGAGATGGGTTTTCAGGGGTGCGCCTAAAGGAGAGGAGAGTAGGTGATAATCTGATGGGTTGGGGCAGGGAGTTCCAGAGGATGGGTGACACCCTGGAGAAGTCCTGGAGGCGGGCATGGGAAGAGGAGACCAGGGAACTAGAGGGAAGGAGGTCTTGTGAGGAGCGGAGTGTGCGTGTTGGGCAGGTACTTGGATATTAGGTCAGTGATGTAGTTCGGGGCAGTATGGTGGACAGCTTTGTACGTCAGTGTTAGGATTTTGAATTTGATCCGTTGCGCAATCGGAAGCCAGTGGAGGGATTGGCAGAGGGGGGTGGCGGAAACGGAGCGGTTGGAAAGGTGAATGAGTCTGGCAGCCATATTCAGGATGGACTGAAGCGGGGATAGCCAGCGGCGAGGCAGGCCAGTGAGGAGGGAGTTGCAGTAGTCGAGGTGTGATATGATGAGGGAGTGGATGAGCTGTTTAGTGGTTTCTGGGGTTAGGAACGTGCGGATTTTGGCGATGTTGCGGAGGTGGAGTCTGCACGAGTTTGTTAAAGATTGGACTTGGGGCTGGAAGGATAGGTTGGAGTCCAGAATGACACCAAGTACTCTGGCTAACTGAAAGAGGCTGGAGGACATCATTAGCACTAAAACAGAATAAAAGGTGAATACAGTACTTTATGGAAAACAAAATAATGAAAATGATTTTGATGATGAAGTACTTTAGCAAACAAAATATCATCCAGCTGAGGTTCAGCCCTACTTCAGTGAATTGTCTACGTTTCTACCAACCTTCTTCTTGTATATAATTTCTCCAAGACTGAAGATGCTATTTTAGATGTGTTGTACTCTCAAAGATAGGCATATGGGGATTCACTAGTCCCTCTCAGTTATGTATGTAAAGGCATGTTGAACTCTCATAGTTATCTGTAGGCAACCATAGACCTTAGAGCAGCCTTTCTCAACCTTTTATCTCTGGAGGAACCTTTGCAATAATTGACTGGCCTTGGGGAACCCCTGCTAAAAACTATATCTACAACTCCTGTTATATTAGTGTGGTTAGTGGGAGAGGTGCCTTCATGGTTAGTGGAAGATAGTTCTCTTCACATTGGCCAGCAGTGAATGAATCCCCCCTCTACATTGGCCACCAGTGGGAGAAGGGCTCCACTTTCATTGTGGTAAGTGAGAGATATGCCCGGCTATTTTAGGGAACAGTGGGACTTAAGCCTCTTACATTGGGGGTCACTAATAAGAATTCTTCTAATAAATGACTATGTGATAAGTAATAAGAACTACAGTATGCAGGCACAATCAAGTGAGAGATAAATCTGCTACTAGCAACCTCTGAAGGAAGTTGAGAAAGGCTGAGGAGAGTGTGTCATCTCAGTTTTGTATAAAAGCTAAGCTTTATGATGGCACACCTGCTGACTCGCTCCCAAGCAGGGCTGTGTGCATCTATAGACATCCACAGCGTGGATCAGCGCTGCCCCCTGCTCTCTTCTCACAGGATTTGATTGAAAGTAGCAGGAGCGGATGGATTCTGTTGCTGCCTCTCTGTCCTGTGAGGAATAAGAGCGAGACCAGTGCACCTGCAGACGGACATGGTGTTGGATCTGGATAGGACTCAGTAAATATGGGGGTGAGGGGGCAATACTTCCACTGGAATATTTTTTACCTTAATGCAGGGAATACATTTTTTTCCTTTTGGCTTCTCATTGTGAATCTACATGAAGGTGTGATGGATTCCTACACAGATTAAGTGATTTGTTTTACTGTTACAGTATATATAGGATCAGAGGTGGACTGACAACTCATGGGGCCCCCGGGCAATAGGGGATCATGGGGCCCCTGTGTCCTTGCCCAAACTCAAAAAAGCCTATGAAAAAGGTACCAGGGGCATCTCATGGGGCCCCCTACTGACCCTGGGCCCTCGGGCAGTGCCTGAGATTCCAAATGGTCAGTCCGACCCTGTATAGGATAGAACTCTGGACTTTTGAAGATGTCCTGGTTATCTGTATGATGGTGTGCTGGCCAAGTAAAGGAGAATCTATAGCCAATAACAATGCTCTTGCTTAAATTCATGCCTCTGATCTCAGAAGGATTGAGGAAATTCTTTGGATACACTTCTGAGACATCCGAACCCAGGTAAAAAAAGCAATTTCCATTCTATACAATTTTTTCAGATAGCTGCTGGACTATTCCTCTTCATCAGCTGGCCTTAACAAATGGGTCAAGAAATTCCACCAAATTTTGGTTGATGCTCTTCTAAAATTACTGCATTTGTCTTGGGGCATGATCAAAGCCATCTTTGTATCTTGAAATAATGTTTTGACTTTTCCATCACTCATATATCTCTGCATCGTTCCTACCTTATGGGTCTAAGCTCCTCTTCTTGCTGCCTGAAATGTGGACAATTAAATGCCGATCTATTGCATGCTCTTTTGGTCATGCCCCATTATCAAACATTTCTGGAACTCCGTAGTGCATTATGCTACCACATACTTAGTAAACTACCAACCTCTAATGCCCGAGTGGGCTCTTTTTGGCATAATCAATTTTCCGGGCATTAAAATATCAAGGGACTGCAAGCAACTCCTTACTATCATATCCCTTGTGACATGAAAAACTATTGTACATAAGTGGACCCCCCTACTATCTCTTTATTCATAGCTAAATTGTCCTATGATTTTCACATGGAATGGGTGGAGGCCATTGCAAAGGGTATTACGGTTTCAAAATTTCTTCAACATTTGGGAATCTTTTATTCAAACCTTGCCCGTAGATACTCAACAATCTATAATGCAATGCTTTCAATACACTCAATGGTATCTACTCAGATTCTTGACCAATGATCTTCCAATTGACATTCCACACCCCTCTTAAATTGAATTGCACCTACTAAACTACAAATTGTGGCCTCCCCCTCTTCCCTTTATTTTCTACTAACTAGTCTGACCACCATCCATTCAAATCTTTCTTAATATACACCATTAGACTCAGCACTGTTATATCTCTCTCAGCTTATACTAACATACTGAATATTGTCTTTCTTGATTTGACTTGTTGGCCAAATGATGAGGCCATTGTTCTTGTTAATGGCATTTTCGCAATAAAAAAAAAAAATTAATGCATCTACTGTGACCTTCTTCCTGACTCTGCCAATGGTACAAGGGGAGGGGCATGGTACCCAAGATAGTATTCACGCCCTCTTCAATGAAAAGTGTTTCTGGATGTTAAAAGGTCTTATCACAATCTACAGTACTTGAAGATGAATTCCAGGTATGGATATTTCTTTTTTTTTCCTTCCATAGGATATTTCTATTGGACCAATGTAACGATGCATATACCATACCTGGAAGCTGGAAATCACTGAGGTAGGTACCGCTACTCCAGTGATCTCCACTAGCTTCCAGGTACCATGCCAAGTAGCTGCCCTGCTGCATTGTGAACACAGGAGGTCACCTGCTTGGCACGGCATCATTAAAACAATGCTTTTTCATGAACTCAAAGCACTGTTTGACTGGATAAAGTGGAGCGAAAGGGTGGTGATGTCATGGCCTCCACCCCATTCAATTAAAGAAAGCTTTGCAAGTATCTGAATCACGCCCTGCTGTGTTCAATAAGCAGAAGGGAAGCCACACAGCCCGGGACCCAGAACATACCAGCAATTGCTGTAATAACAGTGCCTACTACAGTGATTTTCAACAGGTTTGGCGCATACATACTGGTCCAAGCAAACAGTGCCATCCCTAAACTTGCATCCACTGTAAACAGGGGCGGACTGACAACCCATGGGGCCCCCGGGCAATAGGGGATCATGGGGCCCCTGTGTCCTTGCCCAAACTCAAAAAAGCCTATGAAAAAGGTACCAGGGGCATCTCATGGGGCCCCCTACTGACCCCGGGCCCTCGGGCAGTGCCCAAGTTTCCAAATGGTCAGTCCGCCCCTGACTGTAAACTTTCCTTTACTTGGAGGTCTTTCCTATAACAGCACTTCCTGTTGTAGGTTGACAAAGTTAAGCTGCTAACTTGTTATTATCAACAATGTCGTAGGCTTGCTTTGGGTGCATCATTCAGTTGCCCATCAGATCTATCAGATAGGCAGCCCAATAGCCAACTGAAGGGGCTCCGGGTATGAAACTTTATGAGAGATTCCCAAAAAATGTTGCAAGTTGAGCCTGGTAGGCTCTTATTCACTAAAGAGTGGGTGAGCGTTAGGACTTTAGGTTAGGTTTTTTTTGCTGTGGTGTTCCTGCTAGGCAGATTTACTTCTCTATTTATCCTCACAAAGACTGAAGGTGAAGGATAATCCTAAAATTTGGGTTGTTACCAGATCAAGTTCAGAGGGGAAATCTTCCGATAAAGACTCTTATTTAGGTGATAACGGTATAGGAGGAGACTTTGTTCTCTCCATTGGCTGGACATATACTGATCTAACAAATTCCTCCATCCACACAGTACAGAAGGATGAATCCAACTGCTGGGCTGTTGTATTCCAACAGCCACCAGCAGCAGCTATCAGAACACCCAAACACAGGCTACATTTGGTTGGATGCAGGTACTGTTCGGATGAAACATTTCTGTTTTGTCTGGCTCCTTTGAATTTAAAATCACAGAATGTTGGGTGGCAGGACCACCTGTGAATCAAATTTCTGCAGGTCCATCAGGAAGCAGCTGACTTTAGGACAGCATTTTTATTATTATTATTATTATTATACAGTATTTATAAAGCGCCAATAGTTCACTCAGCGCTGTACATTACAAAGGGGGACAGAACATGTGACAGAACAATACCAATAAAATGCAAAACATGAGGGGATCGAGGTACAGGAGGAGATAGCTGTGGGGGATGGAGTGGTAGGAAGAGTGGAGGAGGTCGGTCAAGTTAGCAGGGGGTAGGCTTCCCTGAAGAGATGGGTTTTCAGGGTGCGCCTAAAGGAGAGGGAGAGTAGGTGATAATCTGATGGGTTGGGGCAGGGAGTTCCAGAGGATGGGTGACACCCTGGAGAAGTCCTGGAGGCGGGCATGGGAGGAGGAGACCAGGGAACTAGAGAGAAGAAGGTCTTGTGAGGAGCGGAGTGTGCGTGTTGGGTGGTACTTGGATATTAGGTCGGTGATGTAGTTCGGGGCAGTATGGTGGACAGCTTTGTAGACAACACAAAGAGCTTATTCTTTTCAACCAGTCAGATCTGATTGGAAGAATAATATTAAGAGAGTGAGAATTCATTGCAATACAGATTCCTAAAAAATAATAAAACTGTGTACAGTGAGGCATGAAGCCAAATGCACTGAAAAAAACATTCCAAGAGCAGACACCGAAAGGTCTATACACATGCCGGGAAATAGTTTTTTTGCTCCCTAAGATCCCCTTAACCTGGACATGGCTCTATACTTCAGCTCTTTATTACAGTATTGGCACACACAAGTAAATATATAATAGCCTAAAATAAATAAAACATATAATTGCAACTGTTTATAATACAATAAAAATAATATAAAAAAGAAAAAAAATGATTGCAAACTAAATGCCATTGAGTCAGAACCTTTCCAGTGGTGTTTGAATCTGTGCCATAGCTTGCAGTAATCAAGCCCTATAAAGTGATGATGGTGTCTCAGAGTCTCAGTTACCAATCCTTCTACAGCGGTGGCTGATGTCATGTAAATTTTTATTCTTCACAATTGCTTTATTTGCTTTGTTATCTTAAATTTATCAACTCGCAACATAAAGAACCATCAAGAGTAATGCTGAGGGAACAGTTTGCCAAAGCAATTAATGCGTAGTCTAAAAGTTACCCATAAAAAAATGTAATGAATACTTATATAAACAATTGTAGTCCCGCATTGGGGAAATTAAGACAACACTGCTTAATGGCGTCCCGTAATTTTCATATTTTCTGGAAGTTAATATTTAATCATCAGCAGAGCTTAAGTGCATTAACACAAACTGTTAGAAGAAAGAAAGACAAAGAATTCAGTAATTGTCTTATTATTTTTAAAGGGCGAATACTATAGGTGGATCTTGCCAACAAGACCAATAGGACAGCCAGGCACCAGCACCCACAGAGCTCCTAATATTTGATGACAACTTACAGTATTTGTTTAAAAAAAAAAAAGGGACATAAACTTTGCTCTAATTACAAAGCAACATACTATTTTAAAGGAAAACCTCCCATGAGAGGCATTCCCATGTTTTTCAGCATGGGCGATCACGCCTGCCTAAAGCTCACGCCTTCCAAGATGGTGGAACTTCTGCAGGACTCTAGTCTAATAGGCTTGTGTCAAGGTCTTACCTTTTCCGAGAGGTTATGTTACTCCATGTGCTGGCATCCATCTTCCCCCTCTGGGGGATGGACCTCAGAGACCTTTTTATGCCTTCAGGTCTCTGAGGTCCATCCCCCAGAGGGGTGTGGCTGAGTACATATAAGCCTGTGGTCTGCACATGCCCTTTGCACTTGTGTCTTGTGTCTTTGTCTTCCTACAGCTCTGTGTATACTCTCGTGACTCTTCTGGTATCTGACTCGGCTTGTGACTAAGACCATTCTCTGTGTTTTCCTTCGATCTGACCTTCCGTTGCTGAACCCGGGCCGTGACCTGTGATTCTCTGTCTACTGTTCTGTACCGTTTTGTCCCGTTGTTGTTGACCCGGCCTGCCTGACTACGCTATTGTCATTCTTACCAGCTACACGCCATTGGCGGCGGCCATTACCGCAGCCGGGGCCGCGACCTGGTTCCTGGCTGCGTCAAGTCCATCCCCACCATCAGGGGCCCTGGTGAAGGGCAGCCTGGGACTTAGACTCCGTGCCCTGAGGGACTTCGGTCTGTTGGTGGTGGTTGTCATCAGCCAGTGCGTTACCCTGCCACTAGGCCTACCTGTCCGTTCCACAGCCCTGCCCTGACAGCTTGTCCACCAGGGTCTCACTCATCTATATTCAGCCCAGCTTTACTAGCCTGGCTTAAGACCAGTCATTCTCTACTACATCCCCCCATTCTCTCTAAAAGGGGGGCATGGCCTTCATATGGTAAGGTAAGATACATGGGGGAGATTTACTAAAACTGGAAAGTGCAAACTTTGCTGCAGCTCTGCATAAAAACCAATCAGCTTCCAGGTTTTATTGTCAAAACTTAATTGAACACGCTGAAGTTAGAAGTTGATTGGCTACCATGCACAGCTGCACCAGATGTTGCACTCTCCAGTTTTAGTAAATCAAACCCATGGTCTCTGAGCTCCTGCTGAAATTTCTACAATATCTGACACCCCATCACCTCTTTTCTGCTTCCCATGGGTCGCAGAGGTAAAAGCACCTCCTGTCATCTATCCTGACTTCACAGAGAGGCATCTTCATATTTTTTGGAGCAAGAGATTAGACCTGCCACCAACAAGCACCTTCCATGATGGCAGAACTTGGAGGTCTTTGGCCTGGTAGGCTCTTATTCACTAAACAGTGGGTGAGCGTTAGGACTTTAGGTTAGGTTTTTTTTTGCTGTTGTGTTCCTGCTAGGCAGATTTACTTCTCTATATATCCTGGTGAACTCCCACATAGACTGAAGTTGAAGGGTAATACTAAAATTTGGCTTGTTACCAGATCAAGTTCAGAGGGGAAATCTTCCGATAAAGACTCTTATTTAGGTGATAACGGTATAAGAGGAGACTTTGTTCTCTCCATTGGCCGGCCATATACTGATCTAACAAATTTCTCCATCCACACACTACAGAAAGATGAATCCAACTGCTGGGCTGTTGTATTCCAACAGCCACCGGCAGCAGCTATCAGAACACCCAAACACAGGCTACATTTGGTTGGATGCAGGTACTGTTCGGATGAAAAATTTCTGTTTTGTCTTGCTCCTTTGAATTTGAAATCACAGAATGTTGGGTGGCAGGACCACCTGTGAAGCAAATTTCTGCCAGCCCATCAGGAAGCAGCTGACTTTAGGACAGCATTTGACCAGTTGTAGACAACACAAAGAGCTTATTCTTTTCAACCAGTCAGATCTGACTGGAAGAATAATATTAAGAGAGTGAGGATTCAATGCAGAGCAGATGGCTTTTGGCCACTGATTCTCCATATTACTTTGTGGATTTCTGGAGGGGTGTGCCGATGCTGCAATGAAGAGCTGAAGTATAGAGCTGTGTCCAGATTTGGGGGCTCCTAGGGAGCAAAACAATGACTTCCAGACATTCAATGTACAGTATGTGTATAGAACGTTTGGTGTCTTCTATTGAATTTATTTCTCGGTACACTAAGCAATAGGGTTGATTTTCTAAAACTGGAGATTGCAAAATCTGGTACAACTCTGCATAGAAACCAATCAGCTTCCAGATTTTTTGTCAAAGCTTGACTGAACAAGCGGAAGTTCGAAATTCTCCAGTGTTAGTAAATCAACCACATTGTGTCTTACTGTAAAGAGTTTTCTTATTTTTTAGTAATCTGCTGTAATTTCATACCTGGAGCCCAGTTGGGTATTGGGCTGCCTATCTGATAGACCTGATAGGCAACTGAAGATGCACACAATGAAGGCTGACAACCCTGCTGTTAATAGCAAGGTTGTTGGCTTAATATTGTCAGCCTGCAACAGGAAGTTCTAGACAAGACCTCCAGTTAAAGGAAACTTTAACCATTTCAATACCGGGCAATTTTACACCTTCCTGCCCAGGCCATTTTTCACGTTTCAGCGCTCTCACACTTTGAATGACAATTGCGCGGTCATACAACATTGTACCCAAACTAAAATTTTATCATTTTCTTCACACAACTAGAGCTTTCTTTTGGTGGTATTTAATCACGGCTGGGGTTTTTATTTTTTTGCTAAAGTAACAAAAAAAAACCCGAAAATTTTGAAAAAAAACACGTTTTTCTTTGTTTCTGTTATAAAAAGTTTGTAAATAAATAAGTGTTCTTCATAAATTTAGGCCGAGATGTATTCTGCTACATGTCTTTGGTGAAAATAACCCAAATTAGGATGTATTTTTTAGTCTGTAGGAAAGTTATAGAGTTCACAAACTATGGGATATATCTGAATATTGATCAATCCTGAAGTACTGACGGCCAATCTAATTTCTTGAGGTCCAAGAATGTCAGAATAGTACAGATATCCCCCAAATGTCAGATCAGTACAGATATCCCCCAAATGACCCCTTTTTGCACAGTAGACAGTCCGACGTATTTCATAAGAGGCATGGCGCGTTTTTTGAAGTTGTATTTTTTTTGTTATAATTTTTTGGAAAATTAAAAAATGTAAAAAAATTATTTTCACTATTTTTTTTTACATACTGTCACCAGTGCAGTACAGCGTCATCATATAACTGGCATGGCGGTGAACAGGGACACTGACTGGTGACAGTATGAAAAAAAAAAAAAATATATATATATATTTTTTTATTAGTTTTAATTTTTTATTACATTTTTTTTTTTTTTTTAAGATTTTATTTTCATATTTTACTATGACCAAAGTAGTACAATGTTACCATAGTAACATTGTACTACTTTGGGGAAGTGATTAGTATTTTTTTTTTTTTTACACAATTTGCTTATAGCAAAGAATTACTTTGCTATAAGCAAGCATTTACCAGAATGAAATCGATTCATTCATTTTTTTTTTTTTTGTGCTTAGCTGTGATTTGGCCACAGCTAATCACATGACATGTGCATGTGACCTGCTGTGACCATTCACAGCTAGGCACTAGTATACAATGGATGGCATGAATGAAGCCATCCATTGTATACAACTGTCATGTGACCTGCTGTGATTGGTCACAGGCGGTCACATGGTACCGGCAACGGGGGCCGGTACTCAGATCTGTCTTCGGCCGTGTCCGAGGTACAGATCGCGCCGCTGCGCATATCTGCAACCGCGCAAACCGCGCATGTGCAGGAGCACGCCAAATGGCGTGCACCCGGAAAGGTGAAGCATTTTTGCCTCCGCCAAATGGCTATAGGCCGGTCGGCTAATGGTTGAAACAGATATAAGTTTAGGTATGCCAATTTCTACATAGTTACATCAGTCCGGCTTGAACCATTGTAAGAATGTATGTGCCATACCCATGTGAATTCACCTGGAACCTGGAAATGACTGTAGCAGGCACCTCTATTACAGTAATTGTTGCTAACTTCCATGCAGAAGGTTGCTCACTCGGTATGCAGCACTATGCATTCTCTCAATGAATGTAAAGTCTCATATTTGATGGGGTGGAGATCGTGACTTCATCACTTTGTCTCCACCTCGTCCAATCACAGAATGCTTTGCATTTACTAAGAAAATGCAAAGTATTCACTGGATGGGCCTGTGCTGAGTGAGTAACTTTAGGGTTCAAGAACCTCTTACCACTCATCCAAATCTAAAAAAAAGAAAGTTTGCCTTTAAGTGGATCTAGGAACTAATCTTAAACCTGTTCCCACCCCCCCTTTTAATTCCTATTCTAAAGACCTTGATGATGCCTATACTTATTCTTGGGGTTCCCCAATCCAGTCACATGATTTTCTCCCAGTGGCCAACTTCTGGGGGGAGGAGTGACAGCCGGCAACAGATGCCACATAGTAAGCCTATGGGTGATGTCACTGCCCAGCCATTGCAGCTGTTGTTGGTGATCTCTCCTCTACACTGAAGCCGGACACTTGGGAGATCACGTGACTGGACCAGACTACCCTGAGAAAAGTTTAGTAGAAGTATCTTTGTTTTACAGGGCAGTTAGATTAGGATTTATAAGGGGCATGGAAGCAGTTTTAGGCTTAGTTAGATCAGTCCTGGGCTTCCTCTTTTAACCTCCCTGGCGGTATTCCCGAGTGTAGCTCGGGGTAAAATTTGAGTACCAAGAGTGGTAACCCCAAGCTACACTCGGGCTTACCATGCGGCGTTGCTCAGGGGGTCCCTGCAGCACTTACCTTGTCCTTCGCTCCCGCGATGTGTCCCCCTGCAGCGTCCCCGGCCATCTCCTCCGGCCGATGCCGACATCCGGCTTCCGTGTTCCGGTCCCTGTGACGTCGGGATGTACAGGCGCCGGAACCGGCGGCAAATTTGAAATTTTTAAAAAAAATGTCATTGTCAATGTCATGTAGTAAAACATTGCTGTTTCAATGCATTTCACATATATTTTGTCCCTACTGCTTTGTCCTGCGCCCTGCCTGCATTTTGACTGTTCTTTCTGCCTGGAAACTTAGAAAAGTCCATGGCGTCCAAAAAGCGTCCCTTTATGTCAAAAGCGGTTGTAGACCGGCTAGAGAACAGCGATAATAAATCAGAACCACTTGCAGAATTGAGTGATAATGATTCGTGGGGGAAATTCGTCATCAGACACTGAAAACGATTCTGCGACTTAGCTCAGCGATGTGCGAATTTGCCTCTGTATTTCAAATTTCAGTGTTTTTGGTTTGATTATACTATTGAATTAAATATATTATTATTTTTTATGATTATTTATTAAATTATAATTTATGATTTCGTGTTTCAAGTTTTATCATATCCGGAATGTTTACTAGACTCTTGTTCGGACAGATTTCAGTGAGTTATTCCTAAAAATTACAGCCTACAATAAAAAACTACATATTTCCATGCAAAAAAATGGTACCGCTTTCAGCACAAAAAATCGGAAATAATCAGACTGCCGAGGAGGTTAAGTCTACCAGTTTTATTTGTCAGGGTTGGGAGGACCTTGATATTTATGTTGTGTCCAGATGAACATTAAGTGAAAGTGTGCTGGCTTCTTACTGTGAATCTACATGAAGGTGTGATGAACTCCTACACAAACTGAAGTTTTTATTTTACAGTTACAGTATATATTTGATAGAATTCTGGACTTTCACATGAAGATGTTCTCACTATCTGCATGATGGTGTGCTGGACCTTTATGTTGACCATATAAAGGAGAATCTATGGCCCAGAACAGTGCTTTTCTTTTCATTGCTTAAATTCATTTATATACTGTGACCTTCTTCCTAACTCTGCCAATGTTACAAAGCAAGGGGCATGACAACCAGGAAAGTATTCATACCCTCTTCAACGGAAATAAAATGAACTTGATTCATTAAAGGAGAGATGTTTCCAGCATGTTATTATCTTTTTGTACTGTGGAGAGTACTTCTGATACAAAGAGTTCCCCTTATCACCATTTATTTATAGATGAATTCCCAATATGTATTTTTACATAGCTACATTGGTCCAGCTTGGGTCTGGTTGATGCCCCTAGAATTATAATTACTGTGGTAGACACTGTTGCTACACGTATCTCAATGAAGGTCCACATTTGATGCCATGCAGCTGCCCTGCTGCTTTGTGGACACTCAAGGTCACCTGCTCGGCATGGGCTCCATTCAAAGAATTCTTTTTTCCCTATGAATGCAAAGAGTTATTTGATTGAACAAGAAGGAAAGTTTGGGCGGTGACATCACAAACTTCATTTCTTCGAAACATGGAGCACTTAGCATTCCTTGAGGGACTGCAAAAAGTTCTCTGAATGGATCCAAAATGAGTGACCTCCTGAATTCAGTAAGCATCAGGGCAACCCCTCAGCACAGGACTCAGAAGTTAGTGGCGATCACTGCAACACAGGTGCCTAGTACATCGATTTCCAGCTTCAATGGAGATCTCACAGGTATGGCACATACTATACAGACTTTCATTGGCCCAACCTGGACCAATGCAACCATGTAAAAATTGCTATATCTAAACTTCAACTTTAAGAAATCGATATACAATGAAGCACAATGCCAACTGACCTGAAAAACAGATTTTGAGTTTACATGCACTTTAAAATCTTGTTGAATCTGGATGCAACAACTACATATATAAAATTAAAGGTTTAAATGGACTTTCTAGACCAGGGGTGGGCAAACATTTTGACTTGAGGGCCGCAATGGGTTCATATATTGGACCCGGGGGCCGGACCAAGAGTAGATGAATGATCCGTATGTGTCATCCATAGTAAGTATAGTAATATTCCCCCATAGTGAGCATAGTAATTAATCCCCCATATAGTAATTCATCCCCCATAGTAATTCATCGCCCATATAGTAATTCATCCCCCATAGTAATTCATCCCCCATAGTAATTCATCCCCCATATAGTAATTCATCCCCCATAGTAATTCATCCCCCCTATAGTAATTCATCCCCCCTATAGTAATTCATTCCCCATATAGTAATTCATCCCCCATATAGTAATTCATCCCCCATAGTAATTCATCCCCCATATAGTAATTCATCCCCCATATAGTAATTCATCCCCCATATAGTAATTCATCCCCCTTAGTAATTCATCCCCCATATAGTAATTCATCCCCCATATAGTAATTCATCCACCATAGTAATTCATCCCCCATATAGTAATTCATCCCCCATAGTAATTCATCCCCCATAGTAATTAATCCCCCATAGTAATTCATCCCCCATATAGTAATTCATCCCCCATATAGTAATTCATCCCCCATAGTAATTCATCCCCCATATAGTAATTCATCCCCCATAGTAATTCATCCCCCATAGTAATTAATCCCCCATATAGTAATTCATCCCCCATAGTAATTCATCCCCCATATAGTAATTCATCCCCCCTATAGTAATTCATCCCCCATAGTAATTCATCCCCCATATAGTAATCCCATCCCCCCTATAGTAATTCATCCCCCATATTAAGTCCCCAAGTCCCCCCTGTGTCAATTTACTTACCTTTGCTCCGCGCGTTCCTCTCGCCGTGTTCCCGCGCCGTTCCGGTCTT